AATATACTCAGTTCGAGAACTGCATTTCCCAGCCTCCCTGACAGAGATTAAATTCCAGCAATGAGATGTTAGCAGAAGTATGATATGGGACTGCTAGGATGGCTCCTTAAAAGGCATGGCCACCCTTTTGTCCTATTTCCCTTATTTTCTCTGTGCTGGAATGTGCAGGTGATGGCTACAGTTCCAGTCCTCAATGTGAACTACAGGGGACCTTGAAGGCAGAAGCCCTGCACTGAGTATGAAGCAACTCAAAGCAAGGAGCTTCAGTTTGAGATGACCAGATGGTGCCATCAGACCATCTCAGTCCTAGACTGCCTGTCTCCAGATCTGTTTTACAAAAGTGAAACAATAAAATCCTATCCTGCTCAAGTCAGTGATCTTGCCTGTCACATAACTAGATGAAATCCGTAGTGATAAACCACATTTAACATATAAAGAATCCGAGGTCTTAAAAATTTGCCTTTCAGAAAGGAGTCAGGGCTAAAGGAGTTAAACATTTATCCACTGTTTTTTCTTGGAAGCCCAGTTTTAGTAACTTCCCAGTCATCTGAGCGTTCCTAATGGAGAAGCTGTGAACATTTACTAGAGCACATGCTCATAATTCACAGTTACTTTTACAGCAAGTAAAGGGAAATTTATACACATCTATGAAATTAAGCCAAGCCATATAAAACTTATTCTCAGAAACAAGTGAAACCAGTGGGCCATAGAAATAAAACACACACAAATTAAAACAATTTAAAGATGATAGTAAAATACGCTATTACATTAGGTCAATACATTTTTATTTGGGACAAAAACTTTAGAAGGAGTTAATATAAAATGCCCATTAAAGCTAGCTAGAAAGTTAAAAATGCAGTAGGAAAATATGTAACGTTGCAGAGTTAAAGGGAGTAAGTCAAATAATACAACACTTGGGTGTGTATTTTTATCAAAGATATTTGGATAAGTTTTTATTTTGGGTTTTGAAGTGGGAATTACAGAAAAGAAAAAAGAGAGAGAGAGAGTCTAAGAAATATACTTGACTGTGTGTCATGGTGAAAGCTGTTACTTTGACTTCACACCGTCATGCCCATAACTTCCCTTTTATTTGTGAAAAGTCTGAGAATTGTGTGCAAAATAAATGAGAAATAAAACCGAAGCCCTCTTTCTTTCCAAAATGTTGGCCAATCCAGTCTGGTACCTTTTCCTTTTGTTTTGTTTTTGCTCTGAGAGATTTTTTGAAGGAGTATTTGTATCCCTAGGTCAGTATTTCTCCATCTAGGCACTGCTGACACTTAGGCTAGATAATTCCTCGTCATGAGGGCTGTCCTGAGCATTGCAGGATGCTTGGCCTCTACCTGCTAGATGCCAGTAGCAATGTCTCCCACACAGTCATGACAATCAAAAATGTCTCCAGACATTGTCAAAGTCCTGTGGGGGGAAATTGACTCACAGTTGAGGACCACGATTTAGGCTGTGTTTTACTTCACTCAAAGGTTACAGAAATTGCCTGACACTAAGCAAGTTAGAAGCAAGAAAAGAATTTGCACACTCCTTCTGCCAATTTTTAAAATCCATTATCTTAGAGGAGTGGTACAACAGAGTTGGCTTAGAGAGGCTCACCAGCTATGGGCTCCTCTCACATGAAGACTCCTGTATCTCTGCTCAGACCTTGAGAACTTAATGCTTCTGATGGCCAAGTCATCCTGGGCATGGGGAGAGCAAGGGAAGCACTCTCCCTGCTAGTAACTGGTCTTTACTACTGCTCCTTGTTTTCTTCCCTTTGGCCTTGAGGGTACTTTCTGGCAAGAGAGGAAAGAAGGCCTGAATATTTCCTAGTAGAAACACTGTCAGTCTTTCCTGGTCAAATTGCCTCTGACTCTAATGAAAGAACTTGGAGTCAGAGCAGAAGTGTCCCCTTCTTTCCCAAAAGGCCGTGAGCTAGGCTGGACAGTACGTAGTTTCCCTTTGCAGTGTTCCTGCAGAATACATTTGCTAAAGTTACACAGAATCTGGTTCCAGTTGGAAACTATTCGCTCACCCACCTCTCCTTTGTTTTATACCCAACTGGAATATCCCCAGAACTGCAGCGCAGTTGAAATATTGGTAGTCAAAACTAGAAAAGTGTAGCATCCAGGTGTCAAAAACGTTCATCGATTTGTGTAAGAAATAAGTGGCAAGATTGAAGGAAAGGTCCACCTACTCGAGAGTCACCATGTGAGGAGAAAAAACTCATCTGAAGAGCATGTGAAAAGCTTCTCCAGGGTCCCCTGGGATCCTTTGTTTCATGTAATTTCATATTCATCAGTCAGTGTCTGACTTCATCTTTGGATTATAAACTTCATGAAGACAGAGACATTGCCTTTACTCTCTATTTTACCCCAGTGTCAACCTTTTTTGAATGAATCAATAAAAAGAGAGGATTTCTTTTTTCCCCAGAGTTGTTTGCCCTTCCTAATTTTTTCTTTTCTTTTCTTTTTCTTTCTTTCTTTCTTTTTTTTTTTTTGAGTCGGAATCTCACTCAGTCACCCAGGCTGGAGAGCAGTGGCACAATCTCGGCTCACTGCAACCTCCGCCACCTGGATTCAAGCGATTCTCCTGCCTCAGCCTCCCAAGTAGCTGGGATTACAGGTGTGCACCACTTCGCCCAGCTAATTTTTATATTTTTAGGAGAGACTGGGTTTCACCATCTTGGACAGGCTGGTCTCAAACTCCTGACATCAGGTGATCCGCCCGCTCCAGCCTCCCAAAGTGCTGGGATTACAGGCATGAGCCACCACACCCGGCCTGCCTTTCCTTTTTGTATGCAGCGTTTTTACATACTGACTTTTTAATTTTTATGAAATCTAATGTATCCATCTTTCTTACTTTAGGGGCATTTTTAGAATGGGCCTTGCCACCTCAAGATTATATAAATATTCACCAAAATTTTCCTGCAGTACTTTTATGGTTTCATTTGCAAGATTTAATTCTGAAATCCATCTGGATTTTATTTGTGAAAGAAGTGAAATAGTGCCAACTATTTTGTTTCTGAGCCAGTTTCTCTAAAGCTGAAAACTTCAGCTATATCCAGTAGTGTGATGTTATTAAAGCTAATAGGATTTGAGATCAGAAGGCCTGGTTTAAATTCAACTCCACTCACTGTGCAAATTTTAGCAAGTCCTTTAACCTACTGAGAATTCTCGACAACCTTTATGGGAAGAGGACTCAAGGGAAGAGACAGTTCAGGAATTTTCGTGAACAAAACGGCCTTTGAAGATAAAGATGGAGAGTGGAAGGGTAGCCTGATGGGTGGGAGCATGTGCTTGAGTCTGACTACCTGGACATCTATCATTGTGCCCCTCCTTTGTCATCTGTAAATGGGATAAAAAATAGGACCCTTTGCATATTTGTTTCTCCAAATCTCGTGTTGAAATGTGATCTCCAATGTTGAAGGCGGGGCCTGGTGGGAGGTGTTTGGGTCATGAAAGCAGGTCCCTCACGGATTGGTGATGTCCTCACAATAGTGAGTGAGTTCACATGAGATCTGGTTGTTTGAAGGTGTGTGGCACTGTCCTCCATCTTGCTCTTGCTTTCGCCATGTGATGTGCCTGCTCCCTCTTTGCCTTCCACCATGATTGGAAGCTTCCAGAGGCCTCCGTAGAAGCAGATGCCAGCACTATGCTTCCTACACATTCTGTAGAACTGTGAGCCAATCAGACCTCATTTTTTAAAATAAATTACCCACCCTCAGGTATTTCTTTATAGAATGCAAGAATGACCTAATTCACCTTCTTTGTGTGGTTTATCATAATGATTGAATAAATTAACAAATGTAAAGCACTAAGACCAATGTCTGGATCATGGTAATAAGTAATAAGCATTAATTCTCATGGAAAGGGATGTCATTGTTTCAGTGAGGATACCAGAAAAGGTCCCCCATCCATACTCTTTGAAGAAACTAGAAAAGCATGTCATCAAAATATGCTTCAATTTTCTAATTTTCTCTTGTAGCTGTTTTGAAATATGCAACATATTGTTGTTAACTGAAATGTTCCCAACACAAAGAAATAATAAATGTTCGGTGTAAGGGATATCCTAAATACTGCAATCATTACGCATTGTATGCATGAATCAAAATATCACATGTACCCTAAACATATGTAAAAATCTGGAGTATTAATAAAAATAATAATTTTTGAATGTGTTTCAAAATGAGCTAATGGGAACAGTAAAGAAAAGGTAGTAGAAACATCAGTTGGCTGACAATACAACCAAAGTGACTTCCAATGCCAGCTTCCTTCTGTTCTTGCAAATGTATTGTCTGTGTCCTGTCCTTCATATCATAAGGGTAATCACTAGTGTTTTACAGTTTTAAGGGATTAATTTTATTAAAGTCATTAAATTACTACCTTGAAGTTTATAAAAATCAATTCCTTTTATATGGATAGATTTTAATAACATAAATGGAGATGAGCATCTCTAGAAAAGAACTTAAAAAGTGGGACATACTGTTAAGAAAGTGGGTTGCAAGAGAATAGTTACTTCATATGCCCAATCATGAGGAATCTTTTTTTTTTTTTTTTTTTCGAGACAGAGACTGCCTCTTTGCCCTGGCTAGATTGCAGTGGCACAATCTCGGCTCACTGCAAACTCTGCCTCCCAGGTTCAAACAATTTTCCTGCCTCAGCCTCCTGAGAAGCTGGGATGATAGGTGCTTGCCACCCTGCCCGCCTATAATCCCAGCTACTCAGGATTATGCATAGCTAAATTTTGTAATTTTAATAGGGACAGGTTTCACCATGTTGACCAGGCTGGTCTTGAACTCCTGACCTCAAGTGATCCGCCCGCCTTGGCCTCCCAAAGAGCCAGGATTACAGGCATGAACCACCGCGCCCAGCCCCATAATGAATCTTTTCATTAACATTTTGAGTCCCTAAAATGCTGGAGGAATGGAGGTGGGGGTGTTTTTTAACTACATAGTATCAGAGAATAATAAATACTGAACTCCTGTTTTTACATCTCCTTTTCCTTTCTAGAATTTCCCTGGATTACAGGCTCCGAAATGACCTAGACTCATATCAGACCAGGCAGGGGCAGCCGAGATATGTGACTTCCAGAAACTGCTTTCAGTGATTAATGGAATTGTATGTCTCTTTCACTGAGTCCATATTAAGGGCTTTATTACTTGTGCTGAATTTAAAAGTTATTTAGAATTGCTTATCGTTTCACAGTTCATCACATAACCAGATAGCATTACTCAACTAAGGATAAATCTGTTTTATTGTTTTGGGTTCTTTTTTCCTTTTTTGCTTTCATACTGGAAAAAAAATGTTTTGATTTGCTGACACATTCTCTTTGACAATAGAAACATTTTCAAGTGACAAGTTCCCATAGAGAATTTAAATGTTGATTTGATGTTGATGATTGTAAATACGGCTTAATCATTTTAAGTTTATTCTTTCATCACATTTATAACTTTTTCCCATGAGCAATTTTCCTATAATATATTGAATCAAAGAAGCAGCAGTTATTGGAAACTTTAAAATAAATGGACTTTTTTCCCACCAATGCCTCATGTTGGGGGATCCTTTATCCCCAGCCAGCTCCCCAGTCAGTGAGTTTGGTAAATGGGGTTGGTGGTGGGAGTGGGGGCAGGTAGCTACAGGCTGGGTATATTCTCTACAGCCACATTCAAAGAAACAGCCAAGGCTCCCTTTATCTGGCTCACTTATCTGGTTCAGTTATTACCCACCAGGCTAGCCCACTGAATTTACCTTTGGTGAGCTGAGCAGCACATTCCCTGGCCCTTGCTCCTCTGACAGCTCAGCCAAGCCTCTGATCCTTCTGTTCTAGCCTCTGGGTAGATAACTGCAGTCAGCCCTTTGCTCTTCGGTGATGGCGAGTTATCTCAAACTCACAGGCAGGAGAAAATGCCCCATTTAGGCTCAGGTTCAAGCCCTATTCTCCATGATGATATTGTCAACAACAAAACTGGGGCTTGACCTCCGTTTGCCGTTTTGAGTTTCTTCTGTATACATTGGAAGCCAGAGAGAGAAAGCAGTGATCAGCTGGGACTCCTGCTCTCATGGCACAACGTGCTCACCATTTGCTCAGTCGGGGCACCAGGCCGTGGAGCGGGAGCATCATGACTGATGTCAGCAGCAGCAATGAAATCCCAGGTTTCCATTTTCACGTGGAAAAGAGCCCTACTCTAATCCTACCAATTTTCAGTTATTGTTTCTTGACATTAATTATCTGAAACAGCAGAAAGTCAAATATTATTCCATTTTAATTTCTATTTCAAACTGAGATAGGAATCAGATACTGTGCAAAGAATGTTTACCCGAAAGTGGATGAAGAACAGAGTCACTTACTAACTTACTTCCACTGAAAAAAAAAAATAAACGAATTAACACAACATTTCCTTTCCTTTCATAATCATTCTCCATCGAGCTTTCTCTTTCAATTTTCAAAAAAAACTCAGTTCTCAGATGAGATATTAGTGCTTTTTAATTTTAAATAAGAAAATGAGTCCCACCCCTATGCCATGCACTATTTGTTTCAGAATTCCAGACGGCTCTGCTGACGTTTTCAGGCAATTGTCAACAGATTGGTCAATGATATGGTTTGGCCATGTCCCCACCCAAATCTCACCTTGAATTGTAATAATCCTCACATGTCAAGGCTGGGGCCAGATGGAGATAATTACATCATAGGGGCAGTTTCCCCCATACCGTTCTTGTGATAGTGAGTGAGTTCTCAAGAGATCTGATGGTTTTATAAGCATCTGGTATTTCTCCTGCTGGTACATTCTCTCTTCGCCTGCAGCCATCCATATAAGACATGACTTGCTCCTTCTTGCCTTCTGCCATGATTGTGAACCCTTCCCAGTCACGTGGACCCGTAAGTCCAGTTAAACCTCTTTCTTTTGTAAATTGCTCAGTCTCAGGTGTGTCTTTACCAGCAGCATGAAAATGGACTAATAGAGTTGAAGATCAGTGACTGGCCAGATAATGGGCCCTATAAGTTGTCATATGCATGACACAAATACACTCAACAGACCTAGGCCAGCACTGGCAAAGTTTACTAGTTTTATTATTTTTTCTATTTACTTAGAGGTACTGTTCGTTTTATTGGGAACAGGAACTATTTCCATGTTGACAGCTGTGTTTGTTTCCTGGAGCTGCCCTAACAAGTTACCACAAACTTGGTGGCTTAAAACAACTTAAATTTATTTTCTCACAGTTCTGGAAGCCAGAAGTACAAGGTCAAGGTGCCAACCGGCCACACTCCCTCTGGAGGCTCTAGGGGAAGAATCCTTCCTGGCCTCTTTCAACTTCTGGTAGCCCCAGCTGTTCCTTGGTTTACAGCTGCATAAATCCAACTCTGCCTCTGTTTTCTTTTTTGTTTATTTGTTTTTCTTTCATTCACAGCTTTATTGAGAAATAATTCACATATTATACATTCACCCACTTAAAATATACAACTCAATGATGTTAGCATATTTACAAAGCTTTATAACACCACAATCTAATTTTGGAATATTTTTGCTCCCCCCAAAAGAAATCCCATACCCATTAGGTGTCACTGTCCATCCCAGTCCCTAGCCCTAGGCAACCATTAATTTACTTTAGGTGCATGTAATTTTTGCCTGTTCTCCCTTCCTTCCTTCCTTCCTTCCTTCCTTCCTTCCTTCCTTCCTTCCTTCCTTCCTTCCTTCCTTCCTTCTTTCCTTCCTTCCTTCCTTCCTTCCTTCCTTCCTTCCTTTCCTTCCTTCCTTCCCTCCTTCTTTCCTTCTTTCCTTCCTTCCTTTCTCTTTCTTTCTTGCTTGCTTGCTTGCTTTCTTCTTTCTTTTTAACATAGCCTTCTCTGTATTTTCTCTCCTCTTGTCTTACAGGGGTCACTTGTCATTGAATTTAAAGATGATCTCATCTTGAGATCCTCAGTTGCATTTGTAAAGACCACTTTTCCAAATCAGATAACATTTGTAGGTTCTGGTGGACATATATTTTGGTGGGCCACCGTTCAGTTCACTATGTCAGAAATGTAAAAACAGGATGTGAAAACCTGAGCTAATTGGTCCTGTATTTCTGATGTATTTTAATAATTTAAAGCCCCTTAGAGATGACTGACTATTTGAAGCTTCCAAATTGGCTTCATCCCAAATCTGGCTATTGGCTAGGGAGAGGAAGGCAGAAGCCATGCACTGAATTAAGAGACATTTGAAAGAACAGGTTCTATAATAGTATTCTGTACATTCCCCTGCCAAAACTCAACTGGTAAGTGTTCAGTGTTTCATGAAACCAAACTTACTTACTAACACAACAACTCCCCTCATTCTTCTTCCTGAACAAAACCACTGTTCTATTGAAACCCAAACCTCCACCTTTCCTGCTCCTGTGCCTAAGAATGGACCAAAGAACTGACTGACTTCATATTAAATTCATGACCAGTGACAACAAATTGACATTAAACACTCATCAACAATCCTACCTCGTCTGCCTAATAAGTCTGTTTTCACACTGTAGGACAACAATTTCCTACCTTCTCCTCTGGCCCGAAGGCTCCCACTCCCAACATTCTTAGCTGATGATCTTGCATCACACTTCACTGATAAAGTTGAAAATCTCCCATCCTGAAATTTGTAATAAGCTGACATCCATATCTATAATCTTGGTGTTCTGTCTTGTTAGAAATGTATGATTCATTTTTCATTTCCTTATCAGACTCCTTTAGGATAGCATCTCATCACTCTTTCTGAAGGATCTCACTCCTGCAATTAGCCCTTCTCTCCATCATCAGCCTTTCCTCCATGGGTCACTCCCACCAGTATCCAAGGATACTCTACTAATTCCAGCATCTTATGAATAAATTCTCCCTTGGCGTCATAGTTCCCTTGATGCGTTTTTCTGCACTCCTGTTTTTGGAAATTTTTGTTCATTTTTCAATTCATCTTCCTTGAATTACATTTCCCACAACTCACTGGATACTACCCATGTGCAAGTCTCAAAACTCCCTCATGTTGTCAATTTCATCAATCACTTCCATGTTCTTATCTTCCTTTAACAATTTCCCTCTCCTTTGCAGATTTATCCACGTTAGTAGAGAGCTCTATTTTCCTTATTCTTTCAGTGACTTCCTTTTTTCTCAACGCATCCAAATTATGCAGAGATAAAATTCTACTGCTAGTCTGCTAGTGTACCCACCCAATTCAGTTTTTCCTGTGTGTGTGTGTGTGTGTGTGTATCAGTTACCCCAGGAGAAATATACTAACAGAGGAATATGTAAATGCTATTACTAAACCAGATATATTTAGCTATTTGTGCATATATGTACAGATGTACAGCTGTATGTGCATGTGTGTGTATATATATACAAACAGCTAAATATATCTGTTTTTGTAACAGCATTTACATATTCCACTGTTAGTATAAAATCTACATATCATACAAAATGGTCAGTGAGTTTCCAAAATCTACCAGGGTGATGAATAACTATTTCAAAAATTGGCAGGACTTTTGTTTTCCGTAAAGATGATTGAAGCATGACTTTTTGTGCAAATTAGATTGTTATATTTTTGGAGCAAAAAGGTCTGAATATATCTCTGAGAAGATCAACACTGGATGAGCCCTTTATAGTTTTCAGTGAAACTTCATATTTTTCCTTTTATTTGATCCTTACAATAGCCCTGTAAAATGCTGGTATTTTTCCACTTTTCACATACAGGAAGGAGGATCATGGAGTCTGTATGACACACCTGACTCCCTCCAGCTGTTACTCAAGCCCATGGCTGCCACCTCAGTGTCCTTAATCTTGGGTTCACATTGGAATTACCTGGGGAGCTTTGAAAAATCTTGATGCCAGGCTGCACTACACATCAATCAAATCAGAAGCTCTGGTGGATGAGACCAAGGCATCAACAGTTTTGAAAATGCTCCAGGTAATTTTAGTGTGCAGCTGTGTTTGACAACCATGCCTTTCTCCATCCTTTCTGGAACACCATCGTCTCCCAAATTCAATCCCCTCTTTCTCATCTTTAAAGAGGGTGTTTACTGAATTTTACAGGGGAAGATGACCTCTTGGGACCAAGTTTCTTGCAAAACTTCCTTATAAGGAAGAAAAAACATGAAGGAACAACAGCACT